TACCGTAAGACTAGAGGTATAAACGGTCAACCCGGCTTCCTAAAAAGTGTTCACACTAGTGTACATGGCCGACGTAAAGTCTATCATACGCTTAAACCCCCAAAAAAACAAATTACTGCCACTTCAAAGATTCAAGTACCCCTATAAATGGATGGTTAATACCGGATTTCTCAGACCACTGTCCAAAAGTGTGTCCGTGCCTGCGGATTTAAATTTGTAGACTACAAAAGCTCCCGGAATCTCACCCTTTCTCATCGAGGGTCTCAGCCAGATAAACGTATTTCGCTTGGACTATGTGCTTGCTAATCCGGAGAGAGAAAAAAAGGGCGAGAAATTCACGTTTTCTAAATTTCATCGCAACAGAAAAAGGTTTGTCGCTTTAGTGGTTTCACAACGATCTTTGCAATTTTAGTTTGTCTGGAAAATAATGAGCGCTCTGTTGCATCAAAACTCACAAAATGAATTCTGTTGCGGGAAAATCAAATTGCTTTTCAATTCAGCGACGCGATCGGCACAGCGACACTGTGCTCATTATTTTCCCGACAGGCTGAAATTAGTCTATGAAAAGAGAATTCCGTCGCGACAACATTCATGTTCTCGGCAGCGATGCGATTTTCCATAGCCAGAATTTTCATTATTTTCCCGACAGACCGACATGTCGGTCCGTCGGAAATTTGGCCATCTTGTAGCGAATCAAATTTGAGACACATAGACAAGAAGAAATTTGTCAATACAATCATGCAACCAGCACTTCTGGATTGCAGAAGTTTCAAACATGAGATTTTTTTGATTGTCATTACGAAATTTATACGGCGGCGTTCCTTACAATATTTATATTTTCTGAAAGCCAGCTTTTTACTCTACTGCCACACCAAATTTCAGCCTTCTAGCGCAAACGGCTAGCGAGATATGGAGAGAAAAAGCAAGCGCATTCCGAAAAAAATTGAAAAAGTCGCGGAGATCGGTTGTGTCCCAAAAGTACAGAATTCCGTGCGACAGTAAAAATTTATCCGCAAATTTACTTCTCTCCTCTTTCCTTCTAGTCTTTGTGCCCTCCCTCCAATTGTGACAAGCCCCCTTTGCACACTGCTAATATTCGAAATTTGACTTTTCCAAAAATCACGCCAACTCTGCACTCTAATTCCCGAAAGTTCCCTCGTTTCCGGCGTTGCAAAATCAGCGGTTTTGCGGAAAGCGAAAAAAAAGGCATTACAACGGCTTCAGCTCATCCGCGTATTTGTAGTCCCATCTCCGTTTTCTTCGACGTGTTTCTTATCCTCATCCAAACAATAAGAGTCCGAAGGTTCTTTGGTCCGCCGCGTAATCTGCTAGCGGTACGGTACGCCCGAGGTCTTCGCTCTTGTTCCCTTCGCTTAATCTGCACTCAGTTTTCGGTTTTTTCATTGGTGGTTTGGTGAAATCAGTCTGTCGGGAAAATACTGAGCACTTTTTCAAAGGGCCGATCGGGTCGCAAAAAGAAAAAAATAACCATGAATTTTGCAAAAACCTGTCAAAGATTTTTCGAACCGCCCTATGGCGATAAAATTCTGATGCCCTAAGTGTAATAACCGAAAAAAATTTTGTAAAAAATAGCAGATGTACAGGGTCTTTCAAGAAATGTGCAGGAAAGTAGGAGGCTATAACTTTCGGCGTAGGCGGCGCAGAGAGTTCGTTTTTGGAATATGTATTTTTCAGTGACATTATTTTTTGCCTACGAAATAACAAGCTTTTAGAGTGCAAACTGAGGTCACTACGACCTTCTGAAGTAAAGGCATCTCTACCCCGAAAACCAGGTTTTTTCGGTTGAAAATGATCGAGAAATTTCGGTCTTTTTCGGTTGAAAATCACCAAGAAATGTCGGATCTTTTCAGGGGTTCCGATAGAGTTGACGTTGAAAAAAGGGAAGGATGTTGCCAACACGTTGGAAATTTAGCAAATATTCGGCTAGCCTCAACTTGGGGCAGATTTCGAGTTTATTTTTCGGTATCTTCCGCGAAGAAGCGTGACATCATTTAGGGATTTGAGGAACCTGGAATCGGCTAGCCAAGGCACCAGAATGGCTGTGAAGTCTTATAAAAACTAGTCAAAGGGTGTAATGGGCGTCAAAGGGCAGGAATGACAACAAAACTTTTAAACTGCTAACAAAAACTGGTTGGCTAGCCAAAGTGTCAGAATGAAGAGCAGCCGAATATTTGCTTAATTTTCAACGTATTGGCAATTCCCTTCCCTGTTTTCAACGTCAGCTCTATCGAAACCCCCCAAGAAACCCGACATTTCTCGGTGATTTTCGACCGAAAAACTCTGAAATTTCTCGATCATGTTCAACCGAAAAACCCTGGTTTTCGGGGTAGAGATGCCTTTACTTCAGAAGGTCGTAGTGACCTCAGTTTGCACTCTAAAAGCTTGTTATTTCGTAGACAAAAAATAATGTCACTGAAAAATACATATTCCAAAAACGAACTCTCTGCGCCGCCTCCGCCGAAAGTTATAGCCTCCTACTTTCCTGCACATTTCTTGAAAGACCCTGTAAATGTGAAAAACGAGATTTTTTGTCAAATAGCTGAAAAATAGCAAAAATGAGCGTAAACTGGCAATAATTTATTAACTTTAGGCAAAATAGGGCACCACGTGACAGGATATAGCCCAACGTGATATGATAAATTAATTTTCTTTAGAACGCTGTCGAAAATTTTTTGTGAAAATGAGATTTTTAAGCCAAGAAATGAAAAGATTGGCAAAATAAGTGAATGTCCTCAATTTAGGCTAACACAGAGTAAACTGTAACGTCTTTCAAGACACACATGCATCTAAGAGCCGCCTGAAACTCCTAACTTTTCATTTACAGCCTTGAGAGCAGGCAAACGTCTCTTTAAGTACTCGAAATCCCTCGTACAGTACGTCAAGTCAAATTGAGACTCCCTTCATTCCTTTGTCCGATGCTCAACATCACTTCCTCCACCCTCACATCACCCCCAACATCAACATCGCTAAATCGCAAAGGTTGTTGTCGTGAACGGCTAAACCGCTCGGGGAACCACGATTTTGAAAATTGGAAAACAAAGAAATTGTTGGAAAAATGAGCCGGATATAGCCCTGATTCGGAAAGGAGATTAGCATTCGCACACAAAGGCACAATATCCACCTTCCGATGTTTAATGCCCATTATCCAGGTTTGCACGGTGCGGTGAAAATGAAAAGGATTTTTGCACGGTGCGGCGGTAATTTGGGATACTGTAAGGTTTCGGATAGTAAATAAGAGACAAATATACTTTCTTTATGCAGTATAGTGCGGAGAGAACTTATATTTGCAGAACTTAGAGGAATCTTCAAAAAAACGCACCGTGCACAGAAATTTTCCAAGTTCAGGGAAAGGCGGCCGAAACATCGGCCGAAACCGTTAAATTACCGTGTAGAAAGAAACCTAAGACCACTGTGACGACATACCGATCAAAAAGTTGTTCAATTTCGGCTTGTACTGGCCAATTTTCCCTAAACTGCACCGTGCAGGTACATTTTCGTAGTTAAGGAGAAAGCGGCCGAACATTCGGCCGAAAAACATCAACTTGTCATGTAGAAAAAAAGTTTAGACCCCCGTGATGATAAGGCTGTCAAAAAGTTTATCAATTCCGGCTGGTATTGGCCAATTTTCACGAAACCGCGCCGTACAAGGCCATTTTTGAATTTCAGCAATAGAGCGGAAGAAAAATAGGCCAAAAACGTTAAATTATCATGTAGGAAGAAACTGTAGATGTTCATCAAGATATACTAATCAAAAAGTTACTCAATTCCGCCTGCTATTGGCAATTTCCGCTAAACTGCACCATGCAGGGCTATCTTGAAAGTTCAGGGAAAAACGTCCGAACAGTCAGCCGGAAACTTTACGTTATCATGTAGATAGAAACGGTAGACCTTCATCAAGATTTATCGATAAAAAAGTGATTTAATTCCGGCTGGTATTGGCCAATTTCCCTTAAACTGCGCCGTGCAGGGCCATTTTTGAATTTCGGCCGAAACCCTCAAGTCATGGTCCAGAAAAAACGTATAGACCCTCATCAAGACAGAAAAATCAATAAGTTGTTCAATTACAGTACGTATTGGCCAATTTCCGCCAAACCGGGCCGTACAAAACCATTTTTTTAAGTTCATCAGAAAGCGGCCGAACAGTAGGCCGGAAGCTTCAAATTATCATGTAGATTGAAACCGTATGCCCTTACGAACATAAAGGATTCAAAAAAATTGCACAGTTCCAGCTCGCAATGGCCAATTTCCCCTAAACAGCACCGTGCAGCGCCCACTTCGCCGATCCGCATAGCGCGACCGAACCGCCAGCCGCAACGTCACACTATCGTATAGCATAAATCTTTAGACCCTTATCAAGGCGGGCTAATCCGGCGGCAGGGTGGGGCCGCTTCTATGTCGCGCGGGCCGTGTATTTTTGGGCCTGCTCGACGGCACGGTGCATGGGATTAGTGAGGCGGCGGTCGGCGGAAATGTCAGGCGCGGATTTGCGAGCCCCAAATGTCAATGGCATTAACGTACAATACCACGACACCGCGATGAAGACGAAGACGGCCCTACGGTAGCGCGCGTATATTTTGGGCATGGTATTTGGGGGATTAAGGGGACAAAGAGCCAAAAAGAGACCAGACAATCCTGGAATTCAGGCTAAAGGCCACGGGCATAATGTCGCGTAAGCTGCACGAATGATGAGCAAAGGTCTAGACAGTATTAGAAAGACTGCAGATCGCCGATAAGACCATTGCAAACTGTTTTAATGGATATTTTTGCAATTCTTATATTATCCATGACAAGAGATTAGTAAAAGCTTCAAAAAACAAAGTTACCGTAGTCCTGTAGCAAAACAATTAACTAATCAAGACTCTACACATAATATTACTTCGTTTACACCTGTTGCAGATTGAATTGTAAAATTTTAATCACCTTTTTTAAGTATTTTTGTCACTTCAAGCAGTCCCCAAAACCCATGTGAAAATGTAAACCTACCCCGAAAGCAGGGAGTTGTAGGGGTTGCCAGCGACGTGCTGTTGATTCATCAGTAGTTTAAAGGCGTTCGAACTTTCGGCTTCCAGCTTCATCGCGCTTGAAGTCACTACCGCCGTCCCGCTGGACCCCGGCTCGAGCTGCTGTGTGGAGGTTTTGGGTACCGAGGTAGACGAGGTCGAGGGCTTCATGGAAGTCTGAAATATGACTTATTGTATATACATACTCTTAGCTCTTTATTTCAAGCAATAAATAACCGAAAAAAGCGAAAAAAAGTCAAAAAATGGCCGAAAAAATGTTTCATCGTATAAAATGTCTCTAATGAAAGCTTATTGTCGCAAAATCAGCTATTTGTCTCTTAACCAAACGTGTTTTACCTGGCTAGGACGGAGGAAAGGCGGTCGTTCCGGCTGATGCTCTGGCTGACTGCTGGTTGAGGTGGGTTGTGATGCCAGAATCGGGTCGCCTTCGGACTTTAAATCGCTGATACTCTCGCCGACCTGGCGCTGAAAATTTTTCAATTGTTTTTAACGTAAACTAAGGCCTCTAATATTCTATAAACATATATAAATCTATGAAAAATCGACTGTGCTCTTTCTAAAATACGATTTTCCAGCATTCTCCGGTAAATAAGAGTAAAAATGGAAAATTAAGAATTTTCGAGCCAAGAAAGGGAAACTCAGCCCGCCCTTATACCGTAAATCATAGCATGTATCATGCACTCTAGCACACGCCGCATCCTCTTCCTCCTCGGGCCCGGCCCCACCTACGAGGAGCCGCCGCTTCGAAACGCCTAACCTTCTCATTAAAGCCGGCTAAGAGTGCATGTGCGAGAGCCGGCGGTGGCCAGGTTAATAACCACGCTAGACGTCGTCGAAGAGAAAGTACACCGCCTCTTACGGCGGCCGCTACAACGAGCGAGGAGCCGCCGCCGGCCACCACGACGACGAAGAAAGGCGCATCGGGTAACAAATCCGACCATCCGCCTTATAATTATACGCAATTCGAACTTTCCCGCACCGGGCCCTATTTATTCCCTTGGGCGTTTTGTACTCGCCGTGTGGAGTTGAATTTAGTACAAACCGCGCCGCGGATTCGCACCATTTCCAGGGCGCTTCGGGCAAAGGGTAAGCGGGATAAAAGATATTGTCGTATCTTGGACAAAAAAGAGAGAAAAACAAATAGAAGTGAGAATGTAGCCGAGACATGGTCGTATTTTTGAGTTTACCGCGAAAAATCTTGATTTCCAAAATAAATTTCAACAAATTTCAAAGAATTTCAAAAAATTTTTTTTTCGAATTTTAAATTTTTTTGGTGAAAAAACAACGTCAAATTGTTTTGAAAAAAATCTCAGGGATATGTGGTGTTTGAGGACTACATATAATGTCCCAAACTGCAGAAAGGAAGAGAATTTATAGCCAAAATGAAAATGTATTCGGGAAATTTCGAAAAATTCGAAAAATTTCGTACTTCTCCCAAGAAAATTTCAAAAATTTCTCTGACCTTGAAACTAGATTCTATTAGAAGACCTGTGTCCAAAAATCACCACACTAGAGCCTAAGGCGTTCGAAAAAATCGAATTTTATCTTCACCATCCCGGCCAGCTCACGCATCTCCCGAAAATCCGTCAGAACCGCCCGCGGACATGGATAGGTGGGTAAACCGGCGGTTATATAAGCGGCCAGACTACCGGGCTGTGACATTCCACGTGCCCCATCTTAATGCGCGCTAATTGCCGGCTGTTCCACGGGCCTGAAGATCGCGGCTGACGTTAATATGACATAGTCAGCGAAAGTGCGTTTCGTACTTTGGGCATCCCGTAAACTAATTGGAAACCGGTAAACAGTGGTGTCGAAAACAGCGCCAGAATCTTTGAAGGTCTAACGGGCTCAAGAACGGCTCTTCGAGTGCCTGTATTGTGCGGGAAGGGCGGTATAAGTTACCGACATTTTTCGTTCGTCCGAAGATTCACGTTTTTGGAGCAAAACGGGCGAAATTCGGTGGAATATGGAGGTCGCGGACCTCAAATTCCGTCTCCGAACAAATAATTTGTCGCTGCGAAAAATGGGAATCGCAGCGGAGGGCAAAAAACAAAATTGCACCGTGCAGGCGCAGTTTTTGGACCTGCACGGTGCAAAATGATTCTTTCGAATTATCGCTCAAAATGCACAGTGCAGAGTCGCAGAAAATTATAAAGACTTTTTGTCGCAAGTAGTAACATAGAATCTACAGAGCAGTTTTTGATTTTAATGCCCCTACAAGTATTTTCATAAATTGCGTAGACTTCGCGACGAACGGCAAAAAAATGTCTACGCACATTTTTGAAAAATGTGCGTAGACACTGCGCCAATAATTTCAGCCCTGTGGATTACTGTAATTCTTCTAAAAATACGAGTTTCCGCAGCGAAGAAATTCCTGGGAGATATTCGGAAAATAAGGTAAAATACGGAACAAAAGAGAAAAATTTCGTTTAATTTTCTACCGCTTGGCAACGAAGGAATTTTCTAGGGGTAATGAGGGAAATAAGGTAAAATACGTTGTAGGAAAAAAAGACCAAACTTTATTTTACTCTAAAACAACAGTAAGACTCATATTCTTCACTACTGAAGGCAGTGACAGCTCGAAATTACTGTAATTTTTTCAAAAATCATAATTTTCTCAAAGCTCCCCAGATCAAAATTCTTCCCCAAATCAATAAAAAAATCGTTCAAGCGAACGCCAAAAGAACGTCCAGCAAGCCAGCTGACCATAAGACACCGCAAAAGACCACAAATACTCATATGATGTTATATTATACCGCACGGATCACGTAGACTCGAAAGTTAAAGGTCCGCCGTCGAAAAAACCCGCGTGCTTGCCGCAAAAGCGGACAAATTAAAATAGCGACATTAACTTCTCGGACACCTCACGCGATTGCACTCTAAGCGGCATTCAACTTGTACGGATCGGGAAAAAAGGAAAAATCCGAATTTCACGGGATTACGGACGTCTGAGGAGCATTTTTTTGAAATTTTGGGCAATAATTTGAAGCCAGAGCTGGTTAAAATACGTTGACCAGACTTCTTCCTTCTATAGAGAAAAGAAAAAACAAAAAAAGCTGAGATGACGTCATGACACTCTTGATACTACTAGCTGCGAGAAATCCTCATTATTTTTCCGACAGAATAGTACCCGAGGGAAAAAAGCCCTGGAAATTGCATATGCCACCAATTTCCTCTCAGACCGGGCCCTAATACGGTTGCACTGTGCAAATTGAGTTTTTGAGACAGTTGCACGGTGCAAAATGCGTTTTTCGAAAAACGAAGCCATTATCGGTCAAAATGAACAGTGCAAAATTGCAAAAAATTCTCAAGATTTTTTGTCGCAAATAGTATCAGTTCGGGCAAAGAATTTAGTGTAAATCGGCGAAAAATTAAAAATAAAAATTCATTTTTCTGGTCATCAAATGTGTCAGTACTAAAAAAGAATACAATTTGTTGATACTATAGGGCCTTAGTACCACTGAGGACCGCAAAAATACAGTAATCGTGGTTTCGGTTTTTCGAAAAATTTGATTTTTTGCGTTTTCTCGAATTTTGGCCAGTCTCAAAAAAAATCGTTTTAATACCTAAAAAAGCTACCAGAAACCGATCAATTTGATATCATCAAGAAGTCTAGAAAACGTACTACAAGGCCGACTAAGAAATTTTTCCCTTACCCCTCTGAATTTTCAGAATCAGCCTTTCAAAAAACCCCATCAAGCCGCCCAAAGTCCGAAAACCTCCCCTTCCCCAACCCGTTTCCAACCGCTCTACTACAAACCCTACCCACTAATCTACGTACCCCCAACGTGTGTACGCGATCCCAGACACAACTACATTCGACATTTCCACACCCGCTGTAATCGTTGGCCGTTGCAAACAAGCCGTTAGCGTGACGCAAAATACAGAACCCCGGCGAAATGCTACGGTATTTTCGCGTATTAGCGAGAAATACAGGGAACTATAAACCGGCGAACCGCCGAATGTCGCTATGGCGAACTGTTGGGATGTTGGGCTTCGGCGGGGAAAAAGATGTAAAAGGAAAGGAGAAGTGATGACGTAGGTAGGTGTAGGTGTTGAAATAGAGTGTTGTAAAAAAAGTAATTGAGACTCTAATTATCAAAAATTAGCAGAAAAGCGACTGAAATTTTTAGAACTATTACGTTTTGGACAGTTATTTGGAGTTTTCGAGGAATTTCCAAAAAATACGTCATCATGACATGATTAATTGAGTATTACAAAGATGTGAAAAATTTCTCAAAAGAATGTATGTCGCATAAAAAGAGCGTAAAAAAACATTGCGACCAATTTTTCGCAAAAATATGTCATGATGACGGATTTTTTGGAATTTTGGAAAAATCGAGAAAATGGCAAAATTTGGTGAGAATTGATAGTAGAGGTGTTTGCAAGAGGTTAAAAAAAATTTTTAGCTATAAAAAAACCTATTTGTTTGCCAAAAATTGAGCTAAAGTGGGCTAATGTCAAGTACAATATAATTAATTCCCTGAATCCCGCTAAAAACCCCATTGCAAGCAGTCAAGCGCTTAGTTAAGCCAAAAAAGTCTGCAACTAAATCCGGCGTCACTTACATCTTCGTTGATGAGATCGTCGATCAGCTGAAAGTAGTCGGTGTCCGATGAATATTGCCTGCGGGGTCCACGCCGTTCGCTGGAAAAGCTGGCGAATTCCTGGTAGTTCGGCGTCTCCACGGCGTGCTGAAGATGCGGGGCGGGGAATGAGTGCGGCGGCTCGTTGAATTGGGGCTGCGGAAAGGGCCGGCTCGATGATGAGGGCTGCTCGGCTGAAATCAAGCGATAAGCAACGAAAAGGAAGCGGTTAACAAGGAAATCGGTTAGCAAGAATGATGGCAAGCAAGTGAAGAAGGTTTGTTGTGAGAGTAGCAAGTTTGTAAAGTCGTTGGAGTAATTTTTGGCGTTTGCACTGTGCAGAAAAAGTCAAGCGCCCAGAAAAGCCTATTGCACGGTGCGATGTGAACTTTTGTTTTTGCACAGTGCATGCCGCAAAATGAGTGCGAGCGACAGCCCAAAAAAGCCTATTGCACGGTGCCAAAAGCAAGAAATTGCACAGTGCAAAGTGAACTTTTGTTTTCGCACAGTGCATGTCGCAATAGCGATTTTTGGCGTTTGCACTGTGCGAAAAAATTCAGAATGCGAGCGACAACCCTAAAAAGCCTATTGCACGGTGCAAAAAGCAAGAAATTGCACAGTGCAAAGTAAAACTTTGTTTTCGCACAGTGCATGTCGCGAAAATCACTCCAGCGACTTCGAACTTTAACCAGGCGACAAATTTTGCTGCCGCAAGCCCACATTAATTTTCCGACAGACTGATATAAATTTCTGGATCCATAGCCGCAAGGCTAGAAATTTCACTCAATCAAAAAAAATTTTTTTTTTTTGATTTTTGAATATCATTCTGTCGGGAAAATAATGAGCACAATGTCGCTGCGCCGATCACATCGCTGAAGTCAAAAGCAATTTGATTTTGACTATTAGACAATTCATTTTCTCAGCGGCCATGCGATTTTCGATGCGACAGACTGCTCATTATTTTCCCGACAGACTCATAGTACGTTTTCAGCGTCACATGCGAGATTTCGCAACTTTTTGGCGGGAATATACCGAAACGCCGGGGTGGTAATTATCGCCAAATCTTGGCAGCAAACCGGCCGCGGGGCCGAGTCTATAATTTTCGAGTGCTCGACCTGCCCTTTTACAGCGCCCCGGCTCCTCATTAAACCGCCGACTGACATTTTAATCCACAAAAATACAATTTTTGAGACATTTTGGCGGGGCCGAAAAACGACAAAATTTCGCACCCTCATTAAAGCCGCATCCACTTCTGGACCGGCGCCGGCGCCGCACTGGATCTTTGTCTTGCAGAGAGGTGGCGGAGATCACTCCACCGACTTTGCGAATGCAATAACAGAACGCAAAATTTTTGAAAAATCTCGGAAAAACTGAAAAATCTCATAAAGACTGTAAAATACGACGAGAATTCTTTTCCCTTTAAAAAATTAAGCAAATTTTTGCGAAGGAAGTTAGAATACCCAACAGCTGAATGCGGCAAAGACGCTTACGTAAATAAATTAGCAAAAGAATTGATTATGAATTCACAATGGAGTGCGGACCGTAATTTGGAATGTAAGCGCAATATAACAAAGCAATTCATGGTGAATAAAGAGCAAAAAAATTAGTAAAAAAAGGGTGACGTAGTAAAATTTGGATAAGGAAATTTTTGAGAGGTCTCAAAAAATTTTTTTTGACCGATTTTTTGGGAGAAAAAAATAATTTTTTTTACTGAAAAAATCAAAATTTTGATAAAAAATTTATCAAAATTAAAAAAAATCCTTCACAAAAAGTGCAAAAATTTTAAAAATGTCTCAAAGACCATCCCTACATCATATTTTTGACATAAAGAAGACTAAAATACCCAAGATAATCCGCAAAGAAGCCGAAAAAAGATTGCAACAAAAAGCCAAATAAAGTGCGTAGACTTTTCGTCGCTAGGCAAAAAACCCCCTTTTGCACAGTGCATTCCACTTTTTCGCAGATTTCGCACCGTGCGACAAAATATCGCCGCGACGTAAGCGACTTTTCCAACTGCATCGCCGCGGCTTTGCACCGTGCAAACCACTTTTTTAATTTCGCACGGTGCGAAAAAATCAAAAAACTGCACAGTGCGTGAGCGACAAACAAAGGAAAAAAAGCAAAATGCACGGTGCAAATCAAAAATTTCGCACCGTGCACTTTTAGGTTCTGCACCGTGCATCAAAATATCGCCGCGGTGTAAGCTTCTTTTCCACTGCGTCGCCGCGATTTTGCTAAATCCATCGCACAGTGCAAGCCTCTTTTTTTAATTTTGCACTGTGCGAAAAAACGAAAAACTGCACGGTGCGTGAGAGAAAAGAGAAAATGCACCGTGCGCCGCGACAAAAAGTCTACGCACTTTCGAAAAGGCGTAGAACTGTTTGTGAATTGGTATTTTTAGAAAGTACAATGTTTTCTTAGAGAATTGGACATCATAGTTTAACCGAATACTATTATAATAGAAGTGTGGTAAAAGCAAAGTATATATGTTAGGCGGAAGCTAAAAAATTGATGGAGAAATTTAGATAAAAAATTTTTAATTTACTCGGTAAATGTCTGTTATGAACTTTATAACAAATTTTTTGCAAGCCTACTTCAGAACAAAGCGGATTAAAAAATTAAAAATAAAAAAAAATATTGCGGATGTCAAGTAAACAAGGCAGCAAAAAAGTACAACTTATGGGACACCCTAATAGCTTACTAATGATGTTGATTATAAGAGGAATTGATCAAAGCGCTACGCTCAGATTTTAATGAAACTTGGCACAAATTTAGAATAATTTTTTCTATGGCATATATGAGATTTCTAGCTTGCGCTTGCATAAATAATAAAAAGATTTTTAATTCGGAAGTTGATGAAATTGGACGTTTTTCTGCCGGTTTGTAAAATTTCCAAATTGCCAAAAAATTTTTTTTGTAAATTTTGTCATAGAAAAGTTTCATCCATATTTCTACCCTAGAATATAACATTTCCACAAAAAGTCATTTTTTCCGCGCAAAACAGGCAAAGATATGGCCAAAAGTTTTTTCTCCTTGACCGCTCTCCGCTTTCCGCGTACTCTCTCGACCGCAAAGTCAATATCTCGGCTGCTCTTGCAAAGCGAGAGCTAAAACGTTCAGGAATTAAACTGTAATCCACATAGAGAATAATACCAAAACTTTAAAAATTTCCGCCTCCGGAAATCCCAAAAAATCACCTTTTTCCTCAAACCTTAACTTCCCCAAAAAATCATCCTCCCTTTAACAACAAATTAAAAGTGTGAAGCGGACGGTGCATATACGGCTGGCCACACCTTTTGCTATATGTCAGTGACATAATTTTAATCTCTCAAACATAAATTAATTACACGATTTGCGGGCTTTCGCAACCCGCGAAATCCTGTTGGTTCTGCGGTTAATCGGGATTAGGGCCCCGAGGGCATGGCGAAAAAAAATTTTTTTTTTTCGGCTTTGAGAAATCTTTTTGACAACGAAGACGAATGCACTTTAAAAGGGGACCGCAAGAGGGGTTGGTGGGGTCTTAGAAGCACTACAATGGCGCTCAGATTTTGTCGGGAAATCATGGACCTCATATGTATGTAATATTCTAATTTTTACAGCAACAATCGCATAAAAATTGCAAAAAAATCAAATTTTTGCAATTTTTGGTCTTAAAAATTGCTTATTGTCAGCAAAATAAAAGTCTCACCCTCAAGATACCCCACTCAAAATCTCATCAAAAATCACGACGATTTAGTAGAACAGAAGCCCCATTATATACTAGTTTATTGTAAGAAAAGTACACCATATGACTCAGTACATATGACAGATAATTTTTAAAATCTACGTCATTAGAGCCCGAAAAAGTCTTAATTAAGGCGGTAGGAATTATAAGTGCAACGATAATCAGAGGCTAGAAAAACGTTTGAGTTCCGAGAATATGATGTTTATTGTACGGTATGAAGGGTTGCGAAATACGATATACCAGACGTACGACAACGTAATCACATGGTTTTTCTGCAACGTTTTTTTGCACAAAAAATTGTGGTAACGAAAAGTGGCTTACAAGGGAAATGCGACATCCCAAAAAAGCCTATTGCACAGTGCAAGGTGAACTTTTGTTTTTGCACATTGCATGTCGCCGAAATCACTCCAGCGACTTTCGAACCGCATAGTAAAATTTGGCACAAATTTGGACAAGTTTTTTGTAGGGAATATGCAAAATTCCTAGCTCTCGCTTTTCAAAAAAAAACAAGATTTTTAGCCCGAAAACTGAAAAACATTTTGACAATTCGTCGCGAATTTGTCCATGAACAACCTTTATCTCCTATTTCTACCGTAGAGAGTAATGTTTCCATAAAAAATCAATTCTTACCGCGCGAAATTGGCAAAGATATGGCCAAAAAGATTTTTTTTTGCTCTGGCGCTCTCCGCAGTTTGTGTACTCTCTCGTCTCGGACCGTTGAGTATCTCGGCGGCCCCTATAAAACAGGAGGGCTAAAAATCAGCATGAAGTTTCAACATAAATGTGATCTAAGAACAACGTATCTTCAAAACTGTAAAAAATCCCAGCGTAGCACCTCAACCACTTCCTCTGTAATTGCAAGCCAAGTCCGCCAAGAATGCGAGTATTTGGCGGACCTGCGAAAGGTTAGACAGTAACTTTGTTTACTCCAAAGCTCATAAACGGAATTTTGAACCGCATTTTCTAACAACCGACTAAAGTTTTGGTGAGTAAACAAGGCTACGGTAGTGTTCGGATCTACTAAAATATTTTATACGAGCAACTAGAACTGTAATTTTTAGCTCGTGCTTTGCAAGAGCAACCGATATGCTCAACGATCTTTGAGGAGGATAGAGTGTGCGAAAAGGGGAGAGCGGTCAGAGAAAAAAAAACGATTTTCTTACCGTATCTTTGCCCGTCCGGCTGATAAAAATTTTTTTTTTGCGGAAACATTACCCTTTATGGTAGAAATAGCCATGACACTTTTTATGCCAAAATTTACAAAAAATTTTGGCTAGGTTTGGGCTAGAACTTCGGTTTTTCCTATTTTTAAAAAACTTGATTTGGCAGCTGTACAAACTCACAGAAAAATCCCGAATTTTCATCAACATCTTTGCTATAAATCTTCGATTATTTTTGCAAAGCGCGGCTCAGGAACCTCGTATTAGGAAATGCAACCTTTTATACAAAAATTTGCGAAAAACAGTAATTATTCTGCCAGCTTTTGAGCTAAAAATCTTGGTTGTTTCTGCAAATCGCCAGCTAGAAATCTCGTATATGTCTTACAAAAGATTTGTCTAAACTTTTGTCTAGTTTCGTTAGAATCTGAAAGCAGTTTCTGCGATACTCAATTTTATGAGTAAACTAATTCTTTCCTACCTTCTTTACTATAAATCCTTAGCTTTTCGTGCTAACCTTCGATCTAAAAAATAAAAATCTCGGTCATTTCTGCATAGTGCTAGGCATCTCGCATGTCTTAAAGAATATTCCAAATTTGTCCCAAGTTTTATCGAAACTTGAGCGCCGCACTTCGAGCACTTGCCCGGTAATGTCAATTACAAACCTCCGCAGAGCGAAACCCCGTTCCGAGTGAATTTTTTCGCCCTATGCGATTTTTTCAGGCAGGTCTCGGCGTTTTATCAGTCTGTCGGGAAAATAATGTGCACCTTGGAATTGATCGCTTTGCAACAGCTAGTCGGGGATTTGGTGTGCAACTGCGACAAGACGAGGCATTTTGCTGCGAAAACTCCACATTATTTTCCCGACGTACTGATAGTATACTACGTCCGATAGGCCGAAAAATATCTGGAAATTCATAGCTTTCTTATTCTTTGACTCCCCGAAAAATATAAAAGCTATGATCGTACAAGAGACAGCGACGCGCCCACTGACACAAGTCACGCTTGCCGTATTTTTACACTCGTTTCTAATTGATTTCCGCCAACACTATAATAAGAATAAAGACGTCTATTGTCTAACAAGACCTGCGGCTACTACAATCCCAACCTCAAACCCGGCCATGACTCACAGCTTTTCGCAAGTCTCACGTAACCACCGGCCACCGCTTTACTAAATGCCTGCGGAATGTTTCTTGGGGGGGCCTCGCAACATGCGCCGTGCATACTACATTACCGGGCATCAAAAAGCAAACAACAGGAGTTTTGTTACAGTAACCGAAGGAGTGAAAAAACTCGCAAAAATCCGCGGATTTGCACCGGGAGGCCGCGATTGACTGCTTATGTAGTGGGTAACCTTTCCACACAACTCTTTAAGATTTAATCATTTCATTGAATAATTACACGCGGCCTCTCTCTTGCCTTGCATAAATCAGCGAACGTAGTTTCCTGTGTGTGTGTGTGTGCACTTGGCCCGCGCCCGCCGTGCTTTGTGCTGTGGCGAAATTTTGTATAGTTAAAGAAAGTGGCGGTAGAAGAAGTGGGAAGTGATCTTTGGTCCGGAGAAATTTGAATTTTGAATTTCTGGGAGACTCAGTTAAATTTAGTAAAAAACATTTTCAAAATGAAAAATGAACAAAATTGAATTCTTGATTTAGAATATTAGTCTGTCGGGAAAATAATGAGCATGCATCGAAAACCGCATCGCCAAAAAAGGAATTTTCTTCGCGGCAAAATCAAATTGGTTTTCATTTCAGTGACGCAATTGGATCAGCGACATTTCGCTCATTATTTTCCCGACAAACTGATTTTTAAAAATAAAAAAAAATTTTTTTTTGAAATTTTTAAAAATAAAAAAAAAAGTAAAAAAAATTTTTTGGTGTTTCAATGTCTGGATTAAGATTTTGAAAACTTAAAAATATTAAAATTGATAAAAAATTTACATGACTCCAATAAAAAATCAAAAAGTTTTTTCATTTCCAAAAATTGAAAAAATCCAAAAAAATCAAAAAATTTTAAATTTCAAAATTTCATATTGAAGATCAAAAAAAAATAAAAATTCGGACTTTAAAAGATATTTTAGCCTATAAACTACACATAATTTACTTTTTTGCTACCCAAAATTTTAAAATTTTTTAAAATTTTTTTTTTTAAATTCAAAAACATCAAAATACAATTCCTCTTTGAAATGCCATAGAAAATTGGAAATGCAACATTTAAAACATATTTTGGCCAATAAACTATAATTCTACTTTCTCTTATTTCCAAAAAATTTCAAAATATTCAAATACCAAAAATCAAAAAAAAAATCACTGTTAAATCATATAGAAAATACAAAATGCTGCATTAAAAAGATATTTTGGCCTATATACTACCATTTTTTTAAATTTTTTTTTTTTTTTTTTTTTTTTTTTTTTTTTTAATTTTGCAAATACATATTTCAAAAATTTCAAATTTTCAAATCTCAAAAATCAAAAAAAAATTTTTGTTCTGAAATCCCACAGAAAATACAAAACTGCAATTAGTAAGACTAATCCAGACCAGAAACTATCTCCTCTCACTAGAATTTCCCTCCATTTGCTTGAAATTCTCCCGCGAAACCCAACTAAAGACCAGTTTCTCTAGCTTGTGAATAATTTGCAAAGTTGCCAAACGTATTTGTGAATTGTATCCGAATAAAGGGCGCGGAAAGTTTGTCGAAATCCCCGCCGTACAGACACAAATACCATGAAAGTACTTTGGTCGGACATCAGACTTGAGGAATACATTGTTGGGGTTTCGCAACGAAAACTTTTGTATTTTTAGAAGTTTTGGATGCAAAAAAACTCGGTAACCAGCTCAGAGGTGAGCTGAAATTTAGCGAAATTTTTTTAAATGGCAATAAAGAAAGAATTGTTTTCATGGAAACACGTGGGGGAGTACTTATATTGTAGTAGGGATATGTGTCTTGGATCTCTGAATTAGTTTGAAATAGTGATAAAAACATGTGGAACACTAAATTTTGGGTTTACAAATTTTAAAGATCTTATGCTTATATAAGAAAAAATAGGAAAAAAATATTTTGAAGGGGGCATTTTATACGAAAAATTTATTTTTTAGGCAAGTTCTTACAGTATTTCTTTTGGATCCAATGCAAGCACATAAGCAGTAAATTTTGCTAAAAAATACTGATGTGTCATCTCAGACTGTCGGGAAAATAGTGTGGCTTTGTCGCGCCTTGGAATCTCCCGCGATCGCCTTGCAACGGCTCGACGCCGCTGGAAGTTTGGTGCGCGGCTGTAACCTCACCAGGCGAAACATATCGCCGCGGTGCCCGCCAGTATTTTCCCGACAGACTGATATTGATCTGCAAAAATCTTAGCTCGCGCTTTCCAGTCGCTGTCAAGATATTTGACAATCTCTGCGGCCGAGAGAGCACGAAAAAAGCGGAGAGCGGTCAATGAGAATACAAAAAAGACCTTTTGCCCGTATCTTTGCCAGTTTGGTGCAAAAAAAATAGTTTTTTTTTGTAGTAACTTTACCGTCTATTGTCGAAATAGGCAAGAAATTTTTTATGAAAAAAATCGCAAAAAAGTGTCGCATTTTTGCCAGCTTTCGACCTAAAAATCTCGTTTGTTTCTGCAAAGCGCGAACTAGATGTCTTACATACACTTTAGACAAAACTTTTGTTTCACAAATTCTTTAAAATTTTCATTAAAACCCGTTGAATTTCCGGAGCATTTCTCCAGCCACCCTACATATCTACATGTGAATTTGATCGCCAAAAAAATCCCATTTACCGCAGTTCCCTCCGCAAATCGCCAAGTCCCCAAACAACGTTGACGTTTCCAGTGTTTTCGCCTCTAAATTTAACCTCCTTTTTCCGACTACAACGGTAAGGATTAGCTACAAAAGTTTTCTGTTCCAGCGTCAACATCACGCGAAAGGCCTTTGTTTTTTGCCAAAAAATCCCCTTTCATATTGGTGGGGAAATGTGTGCGAACAACGCCCCGGGCTTAGAGATTAACGTCCGAACAACACGGTAAGGGCATACAAAAGGAATTGAGGCCCAATTTGATTACAAAGGTTCCGGAAAAGAAATTTGATTAGCTTTGTTTGGGGATAATTGATGTCTTAATGGGCTTAAAAATGGGTTATTGAGAGATTTGAAAGTTTTATTGGACTTTTTTAATAAGCTGAGTTTTTCGGAAAATCAACAGGATTTTAGAGGAAAAAATTTGAATATGCAAATTTTTTGAAATTAAAAAGCTTGTGTATGCAAACTTTTTTAATAAAACACAGTATCTTGCTGCGATAAAAAACTTTTTTTTTGAAAATTGAAAAATTTTGGAAGAGAAAAATTAGCATATGCAAATTTTATCAAATTTAAATTTCGAATATGGAAATTTCTTTAAAATAAAAAGTTTTTGGATTTAATAAAACACGTGAAAAATTTGAAAGTAAAAAAAATTTTGGAGAGAAAAATTTGCATATTCAAATTTTTTCAAACTTAGTTCGTAAATATATGCAAATTTTTGTATTGCAGGATTTTCTATAAGCCGTAAAATAATCAGCAAGTAAAAATAAAAATCGTATATTCCAGAAAAAAAATCAAAAAAAAAAGAAATATGCAAATTTTTTGAATTTCAAAAATTAGCATAAATTTTAAACGAATTTTTTCGCCTCCCGAATGGAGAAAGACCATACTCCAAGACCGATTACCGTAGTTTTCCGACCATAAAATAATCTTTGCATAATTGAAAAAAATAGTTAACTATGCAAAATACAATTATTCATAAGCTCCGTATAAGATCTCAATTATTCCGCTGATCAAATAACACAGATTGATAGATAATTCGCAAAATCACAAGGAATAAATGAAACATAAATTCATTAGCATATTCCAGCATATGCAGGAATTTACTGAATAATGCAGTGGTTGTTTTTTTTTCTAATGTCTTAAGAGATTTTTTAGAGAACTCAAATTTTACGTGTAATTGAAAATTCGCCGTCATGTACGTGCAAAAAGAAGGGATCAAAAAAAATATGCAGAAAATTCAGAAAAAATAAAAAAAAAATTTTTTTTATCTCAATTTTTTTCGTTTAAAATTGCAAAAAATCGCAAAATCAAATAACAAAAATACTGTAGATTGTAATGACGCTTATAAAAAACTATTTGGAGACAAGAAAAGTTCAAAAAATCCCAAAAAAAAATTTTCTAAAATCTCAAATTTTTTTTCTTCAAAATTGCCAAGAAATTCAAAATCCACAAACAAAAATGTTGTAGATTGCAATGGTACTTACAAAGAACTATTTTGAGACAAGAAAAAATCAAAAAATCCCAAAAAAATTCCAAAAAAATTTTCAAAAAATCTCAAATTTTTTTTTTGCTTCAAACTTGCCAAAATCTCAAAATTAACATAAAAAACATTGTAGGTTGAAGACTGTATAATAAAATGTCTATTCTTGCAAAATAAGACCAAAAAATTTAAAAAATCCAAAAAAATTTGAAAAAATTTTCAAAAAATTTAAAAATTTTTTTCGTTTCAAGCTTCAAAAGATCTCCAAATGAAAATAAAAAACACTGTAGATTGAAGACTGTATAATATAAATGCCTATTCTTGCAAAAACAGACCAAAAAAATGCAAAAAATCCCAAAAAAAATTCAAAAAATCTAAAAATTTTTCACTTCAAACTTGCCAAAGATCCCAAAATCACCAAAAATAATAAAAAAACAACAGTAGTAAAATCAAAACCCACCATAATCATGTCCGGGACTGGGCGTTTTCAGCTCCTCCATGTCGACGGCGGGCTGGCGGCGAAACCGGGCCGTACGCTCGAACCCGTTTTCAAATTGACGATTGTACTGAAAGTTGAGCGATTACCGTATGATGTCTGGTCGAGGTTCGTATATTTTTAGCCCGATTCGTTTTTTAACGACATTACCTCTTTCAATACGTCATCTTTTTATCATGCGTTTTTATTATAGGGTTGGGAAGTGTGATATTTCCGAGTTTTACGTTGGAAACATGGTGTAAAATGGTGGTAAAGGGCGTTGGGATCTTTTTTCGGAGTACAAGGGACATTTAGATTTTTCGGTTTTTTTGAGGGCAAGGGACCTTTAGAAAACATTTTTTTTTTTGAATACAAGGGACCTTCGGAAATCGTAGACCAGAGAACACATTCAACTTTGATATTGGCTTAAAAAGTCTCATGAGTATTTCTACCGTAAAAAGTAAACTCTAATTTCCACAAAAAAAATCAACTTTTTTCATGTGGGCAAAGATACGCAAGCAAAAGAAATACGGCAAATAGCCTGCGCATTTTTAACGATAACTGGGTCGCTCTTCAAAAAACCGCCCCAAAAAAGGCGAGTTTGCAGTTTGCACAGTGCAGTTTCGTTCTTTTGGCACTATGTCGCGCCCCCTTTTTCCAAGCCATCTCAATTTGTCGGGAAAATAATGCGCAACCTGTCGCATCGAAAATCGCATCGCCGCCGAGAAAATGGATTGTCTTCGCGGCAAAATCAAATTGCTTTTCACTTCAGCGACGCGATTGGCTCAGCGACATTGTGCTCATTATTTTCACGACAGACTGATATTCAAAAATCAAAAAAAATTTTGATTGATATTGGCCCGTAGGCCAATATCAGTCTGTCGGGAAAATAATGTGGATTTTTTAAATAGCCCATCATTGCTTTACGGCGGCTAGTTGAAGATTTGTAGGGCGACAAGGCGAGACATTTTGCCACGAAAATTCCACATTATTTTCCCGACAGACTGATATCACTCTGTCGGGAAAATAATGAGCACAATGTCGCTGCGGTTGTTGAAGCCAAAAGCGAGTAAATTTTGCCGCAACACAACTCATTTTCTCAGCGGCAAGCTCACATTTTTCCCCGACAGACCGACAAAACCCCCGAAATTTCGAAACTCCAGCTCAACCCGGTCTTGCAAATGACTCGCCAGTCGCCTGTACCACCCCATTAAACCCCCACGCCCTGCCCATCATTGTAATTTTTTGCGTAATTTTTTTGCTCCGCGAATTGTCCGTCGCCCCGCTCCACACTTGTGCGAGAGGTGGCGTTTTTAATCTCTGCAACCGACAATTTCTCCGACCAACTACTACCCTTCCGCGCCCTGCACACATACACATCGTATACAACCCACAGTTTTCGCGTGTCCATTAATCCGCCGAGTCCAGACATTGCGCAACACACCGGTAATTAAATTCGTGGCCCCACGGCACGTGAAGGGGGAAGCGCCCCGCCGCCGCCGCCGGGGGCAATGGGCGACCGACCCGATTTCGCACGTCGTTTGGGACGTCATTTTCCCGGTATTTTTAGCAACAATTATTTACAAAATTGGGTGCGGAAGAAGGTGAGTTTGAAGGGAATTTTTGGAAAATTATTTTCCGTGTTTTTTTTGAGGCAAAAAAATGCAAAAAATTTAAATAAAAAATTTGAATTTTTGGATTTTTTTTTGATTTTTGTGAATTTTTGAGAATAAAGAAACGACAATTGTGTTTTCAAAAAATTATACAAGCTGACAAGTCTCTAATTTAGCTTTTCATCATCGATTTTTAACTAAAAAATCAAAAAATCCCGTTTATGGCCAAAAAATTTTTTCATCTCCGATTTGCCTGAAACTTGGCAGAAATCCAGACTATAGCTGTCTGATAAATCCCTGAAAATTTTGGCTTATATTCTCTAAAACTAACCGAGATTTTTAACTCGAACTTTGGAAAACCCCCATTTTTCCAATTCCTAACCACCAATTCCCAATCTGACATCCTTACGCAAAAAAACTACAAAAATTTACCCGAGCCCTTGTCATCGTTTTCAAATCCGATGTACGCATTCTATTGTGTAAAAAATTCCGGACCAATGTTCGTTATAAGCGGGGATTAGTCGGTTGAAGTCGGCGCGGCTTAAACGGCTAAACCTATACGCAATTGGGAAGCTCTAGAGCAACATTCCAGTTCATCTTCATGTCAAGGCGGGAAAAAGAGCAGAGGAGTTTACATCCGGTGTGGAATTTTTTGGGAAGATTAGAAAAGTTTTTGGGGCTAAGGTAGTACAGCCCCCCAGTCCAGTTCAGCCCCCCATGACCCAGTACAACCCCCCTCGTCCATTCTGAACCCCAAAATTTATTTCAAAGAATTAATCCAAGTTGTACGGTCCAGCACAAGCCCCCTACGTTTTAGATGAAGCCCCTTACGTTTTAGATCAAGCCCCCTACGTTTTAGATGAAGCCCCCCTACGTTTTAGAAAAAGCCACCTACGTTTTAGATCAAACCCCCAACGTAGTAGATCAAACCCCCACTTACATTTTTTGTATTATTCTAATTTATTCATTATGTGAGGTGTGAAACGGGCAAAACAGTCGGGGTTTGAACTACCTTTCGTGGGGGGCTGAACTACCGAAGCCCCAAGTTTTTGAATTTTAAATACGATAAAAACCAAAAAAATCCAAAAAATCTAAAAATTCCAAAAATGTTATATAGCTAAATTATATAGCTAAAAAAGTTGCCAAAAAGGGCTCTAATGTCCCAGAAAACCTCTAAAAATGGTTCCTTTATCCCCTAAGAGCTCTAATTCACCAAAAACACCCCGAAGGGCCCTAATTTCCCAAAAAAAATCCTAAGGGCTCAAATGTGCCAAAAACCCTCCTTAAGGGCTCTAATGTTTCGAAAAAAATCCCCTAAGGGCTCTAATGGGCCTAGAAATCCCCTAAGGGCTCAAATTTACCAAAAACACCCCGAAGGGCCCTAATTTCCCAAAAAATTTCCTAAGGGCTCAAATGTGCCAAAAACCCTCCCTAAGGGCTCTAATCTTTTGAAAAAATCCCCTAAGGGCTCTAATGGGCCTAAAAATCCCCTTTGAGCTCTAAGATCCCAAAAAGTCTCCTAAGGGCTCTAATTTACCAAAAACACCCCAAAAATGGTCCCCAAATCCGCCAAGCGTCCCAGGCTCTCCAAAATTCAATATGGCTAACATAAAGTCGCAAAAAAAATATCGTAACGGCTCCAATGTTCCTAAAAATCTCCAAAAGACCCCAAAAATCTCTTAAAAGTCCCAACCTCCCCAACTTCTCAAGCCCTCCAACTCACATGAATGTTGTTGTAGGGCGAGCCCCGCGGCTCGGTGTATTGCGGTTTGGGCGACCAGGTGGAGGAGGCCTGACTGTTCTCGCTGTACAGCGAGCCGCGCCGCTCGAAGCCCCAGGCGCAGCGGGCGTGGGCCAAGGCCGGTTCGCAGCGCGCGCTCTTGGGCGCCGGCGTCTTGGTGGGGTGATCCAGGCTGTAGATGGGCTCGGTCCAGTCGAGGTCGGACCAGTTCAGTTGTTGCGCGCCGTACTCACTTGTCGCTGCGGGCGTCCAGTGCATTCAGCGTCGGGTTGGGACCGAATTTTCGACTGTTGAAGGGGGTTTTTGGAGAGTGTGTGGTGGAGTGTACAGGTTACTTGATTCTGAAAAAAAAGTTTGTTTTTTTTTTGTTTTTTTGGGGGGAAATTTTATGAAAAATTTCGAAAAAAATCAAAAAATAAAAAAAAATCCATTTTAATCAAACAATATAAAAAAAGCCAAAAAATTCCAAAAAAATTTTTTATAATCCAAGAAAAATTTTTTACAGCAAAAATAACTACAAAACCTTCAGAAAAAATTCAAAAATTCAAAAAAAATTCCCATTTTTCTTCCAAAAAAAATCTCCAAACCTCTCAAAAATACCTTCAGCTACCGTAGTAAACTCCTAGACTCCAAAAAAAATTTTAAAATCCCAAAAATCTTTGGTTTTTCTCTCTTTTTTGCAATAAAACCCGCGTCCACGAACATGTCATCATTCTCAGAACGAAAAAAAAGTATTACACTATCCCAGCTCCCAAAATATCCTGCTAAATCCTCTGAGAAGCGAAGCTAAAATGAAGATGCATCTGCGGAATTATTCGAGATATATCCTATACCAAGTGGAAAAGAAAATATTATCTTTGTCATCAAAAAAACCCCAAAAATTCCAAAAATTTCTCAGCCAAATTCCCTCCAATCCCCGACTCAAACGCCTCTGAATAGAGGCTGATAATGCGCCGCTAATATCGCATATTTCCAGTCATTCTCACGGAGCGTTCTCGGCCGCGAAATCCCCCGAAATCCGCGCTAATCGGCGGCATATATTTCGCGTTCGACGCCGCCCCAAAAAACGGCGATAGAATGGGATAAAAATGGCCGCTGGATGATCCCGGATTATCACTGCGTCATGCTGAGCTCTTTATCCCTTACAATGCCCGCGGCAGCGCACCGAACCTGACTCTGCGAAGCCTTGGGCAAAGAGTTGGGGATCAATTAGCGGGCTGATGAAGAAAATGGGGCCCACGTCACGCGGATTACCAGGGATTTGGCGGCTTCTGGGGAAAGATAGAACTGAGAAGATGGGTTTAATTTTTCGAGCGACTTCTGGCTCTATTCGCAAACGTCTTTACCAAGTTTCATCAAGCATTTTGGACGAAAGGCTCTAAAATTTTCTCCAAAAAATCTCTGAGGCCTCGATCCTTAGATTCTCTTCAAATTTCGGTCAAAGAATCTGGCTGGGCCACGAATCAATAGCTGAAAATTTTAGCCTTTGGTATACAGGCAAGGCTGAGATATTCAACCATCTTCCGAGAGAGTACGCAGAATGCGGAGAGCGATCAGAAAAAAAACGAATTTTGGCTATATTCTCGCCAATTTCATCACATTTCCTTACACAAATAATAAAAACCAAGGACAGACGGTCAGAAAAACGGAGCCTTAGCCATAACTAACGGGTTGAAATTTTATTTTTTTGACAAAAAACCCAAAAAATCCCTTTTTTTGTCCGTTATGCAGGCCTTCTACAGCCCTTCCCCAACGATTTCTGACTTTGAAACTCAACCAAGTCAACGTCAAGTCCCCAAATCCCCCATCCAAACTCATCTCATCTTGGATTTCTGTAGCCATTCCGCCGCTAATCCCGACCAAAAAACGGTCGAGAAACTGCGGCGGATGAGGTCATCCCGCCGGATTAGCTGGGGGCATCGCGCAGCGTGGCAAATCGTGCACGGAGCGCCGTTGTTCGAGTCGGCTCTCGCGGCTCAGACGTGCGTATTTTTAGCCGGCTTTCCGCTCGGATTTCGGCGGGTCTTGCGCACGGCGGATAAGCGCGCAAAAGTGCGTTCGGCCTGCAGCGGCTACGGTAGGCGGGCATCTTGGGATTTGAATAGACGCGATTTTCGGTAGCGGATAAGCCAAAGGTGTTCGAAATTAGAGGAGCAGATATCGTGGAGGAGATTTGCGGCTAAAAGGGCAACCGGAAAATGCTAATGTTGGCCTTCGGATGAGAGGCGGCTAGACCGGGAAAGTGGGCACATTTTTTTATGAAATAATAAGATTGATCGGGTCCTAGGACTGCTTATCACTCATTTTTATGCATTTTGTATTAGCATCAATAATAGCTACACTAGGGGACCTGATCCAGTGGCAAAACACATACCATTTTGCATCTAGGAAGTATCAAAAAATGTGACAAAATGCCTCCATCTCCAAGCGAAAAAACTCAGATTTCAAAAGCGCGCCCGTTCTTTTTGTGAATAAAAAGCGGGCGCGCTTCAAAACGAAGTTTTGTCACTTGGAGAGGGAAGCATTTTGCCACATTTTTATACGTCCCGGATGCAAAATAATACGTTTTTTGCTACTGGATGAGGTACCCCACTGTATATAAACGTGACAGATCTCTGTTCTTTGCGCAAATTTTAGTCTTTTGTATTATGTTACAATAACTCACGGTAATGAAATCTAACGCTCGTAATTGCAAAAATTAGAAAAAGTGGACTTATTGCAAATCTCCGCCAAGTCTCCGCCGAGCCTTCGGCGAGCATCCAACGGCTTTGCGAGGCCTCGTAGGCACTGCCTATAATCTTTTTTTGGGTTTTCACCAGCCGTACTCCCGGGAACGAGCGATTTTGTGTTGACCCAAAAAGTCGGGCTGCGTCCGCAATCTATAAACCCTAAAAACCTTACAGTACCTGTCACCATAAACACACGATCTAAAACTTATTTATCGTCCCAAAATCCCCGTCAAAAATTCTCTCAACAACACGATTTTAAACCCTTTTATACTCCCTCACACCTCGATTAATTCCCAATTTCCCACAACCAAATCCGCTTGCGGCAAACAAGCACGCTGCCTTACGTCGACCCATTCGCAATTAATCGGATTTGTGGGTGATTCGCGAAGACATTAACCCCGAGACAAATCTTGTTTATGCAACCAAATCCCGGGAATTTAATCTGCGAAAAAACACAACACTGATAATTGCCGCTAATCTCCCCCAAATTAATTAATCAGTTTTGAGGAATAAATTTTATGGACAAACAGGTTATGAAAATATTTTGGTGTTTACGAGCGGAGATGACCGGGAAATTGGAAAATTATCAGGCTTTTTGACATTATTAATCAAATTAAAATTTTGTTTTAATCATTTACTAAGTGGTCATGGGAGGATAAACAAGGTATGGTAGGAGAGAGGACACGTACTCTTTGTGGATTTTGGGAAAAAATTATAATTACAGTAAACGTTGGTACGACAAACCGCCAAAAACACTTTGTATCATCAGTCTGTCGGGGAAATAATGAGCATTCTGTCGCATCGAAAATCGTATCGCCGCCGAGAAAATGGATTGTCTTCGAGGTAAAATTAAATTGCTTTCCACTTTAGCGACGCGATTGGCTCAGCGACATTGTGTTCATTATTTTCCCGACAGACTGATAAGAGCGCCCGTAGGCCAATATCAGTCTGTCGGGAAAATAATGTGCATTTTTTTAAATAGCCCATCATTGCTTTTGGTGCGGCAAGATTGTGCTCATTATTTTCCCGACAGACTGATACACAAATAAATGCTTCATATTATTAAAATAGCCGGTTCCTAAAGTCGCTGAAGTAATTTTTGGCGTTTGCACTGTGCAGAAAAGTTCCAGATCTCAGCGACAGCCCAAAAAAGCCTATTGCACAGTGCAAAGTAAACTTTTGTTTTCGCACAGTGCATGTCGCTAAAATCAAAATTTGGGGAAAAAATACTTAGTTCTGGTGCGAAATACTATTACATGGGTAATTCGATAGTCACGCTCACGTGTGCTCTTCAGGAAATCCGTAAGAATGGTCATAGGGTTCAAAAATGTAAAACTTGTACGTTTTGTTGAAAATTAAACTGCCAAAGACTTCGCAGAATTAGTGTAAAAAGGCCCATCAAGGGGTCGTTCTGAGTTCAACCTACATTTAGATCCAAAACATAGTAAAACCTAAACATGCATAAAAGGGTCAAAAATTGTTCAATATCTCAGATTTTCTTTAAATTTTGCACACGCCTTGGGCATATTGAAAATATCAATTCTTGAAAATTTTAGCTCGCGCTTTGCAGGCACAGCCAAGATATTCAGCTAACGTTGCGGCCGAGAGAAATCGCGAAATGCGGAGAGCGGACAAAGAGAAAAAAAACTTTTATGTCACTTTTATCAACTTTTGACTAAAAAATCTCGAGCTAGGAGGTTCGCATATTTTTGAAAAAAAATAATCTAAATTTGAGCCAAGTTTCAGCAAAATCAGAGCGCCGCAATCTGACTATTTCCTCGTCAAGTTCAACGGTCTAATCAACTCATAATATGTTATTGTTCTGCTCGCTTTTGACCTAAAACTCTCGGTCGTTTCTGCAAACCGTAGGCTAGAAGTCTCGCATAAGTCTTAAAAAAAATTGTTCTAAATTTGAGCCAAGTTTCAACAAAATCTGGGCGTCGCACTTGGGGTACTTCCCTATAAATTTTAGCCAAGTTTCATCAAAAATCTGATCGTCGCATTTGGGGTACTTCCTTATAAATCTGAGCCAAGTTTCATCAAAATCTGGGCGTCGCAATTTGACCATTTCCCCTCTAAAGTCAAGTTCAACGGTCTAATCACTCCCCAACTGTTATTCTTCTGCCCGCTTTTGACCTAAAAGTCTCGGTCATTCCTGCAAACCGTAGGCTAGAAGTCTCGCATAAGTCTTGAAAAAAAATTGTTCTAAATTTGAGCAAAGTTTCATCAAAATCTGAGCGTCGCACTTGGGGTACTTCCCTATAAATTTTAGCCAAGTTTCTTCAAAATCTGAGCGTCGAACTTGGGGTACTTCCTTATAAATTTTAGCCAAGTTCAAACTCTGGGCGTCGCGCTTTGACTATTTCCCCTTTAAAGTCAAGTTCAACGGTCTAATCACCTCCCCAAGACCAAAAAACACCTCCCACGAGCATCCGCTAACCTTTCCCTCGCCGCTCCAGCAGCACCCAAAGAACATTCGCGGAGACGTACGGTTAATCTGCAGCGTCAAAATCGCCAAACGCACACAAA